GAACATCATTGCATTGTTGCTCACACAAGACACACGTTCCTTTTCCACTACCTAGATTAGCAAGGCCATACACTTGATCGCGATGCAATGCTTCATAAACCAAAAGACCTTGATGTCGTTCTCCATAGTGTTTACGAATGGAGCGAGCAGGCACGGCAAGGTGACAAAAGACACAGTGGTGTGCAATTTCACAGACCAGGGCTTTGTCCAGTAGAATACCTGGGATGGACTTGTAGCGCAAATGCATTCTCAATGACTGGCGGTCAGCAATCGGCACGATGGTCTCCTTGTGCGGATCAAACTGGAGACAAACTCTGGCATTGATATGATATCTAAGGCGATATATATCAGCTAATTGCTTGTGACAGTGTCTACATGTTGCCTTCCCTTCAAATGAATCACGCAGGGGATCAAACAAATCTTCAATGTGGCAGGGAATCTGGTGTGCAGTACGCATATGTCGTTTCCAGGGTCCTGCCTGATGAAAAGCTCGATCACACTCTGGACATTTGAGTTCAGGTGCCTGAGAGAACGAGAGTGAAGCCGTGGGTTCATGTTGTAATTGGTTATCAGGGTAGGCTGGGGTCAAAACGCATATATCTTGCTGACCAGTCTGCATGGCTTCACGGATCAGGATGTCACGACGTCGACTTAGGGAGTCGTTCAGACGAGTTTGTTGTCGAACAAAATAGCACCATGGAGGTTCAATGTGCATACGTGAATAGAAGGCCGTGTTGGTTTCACGGGTGAGGTGCACAGGGGATCGGGTCATGGTCCTATGATGTTTGGTTATCATGCCATTGATCATCTGAAAACTGCGAGTTGAAATCCCCATCTCGTGGATGCCATATGAGACTGTGGGTAAAACACACTGGTTATACAACCTAAGACGAATTGACAATGGATGATGCTGATCCAGGAGCCATTGCCTCAAGATGCGGAAGCAAACATTTGCAGCTTTGATTCTGCGAACAATGGTGTCATGATCAAATGCGCGATAGCTCAATGTGACACCTAGGTAGTCTGTCCTACTGACAAGAGGAAGGCTTAAGGATTGATCTGGCAGGTGCAAACGAGGTCCTTCTTTTGTTCTCGACGTCCATCGTTTCAAAAACGCCTGAGCGGACTTTCCCACAAAGCGCATGATGGCAACACTTTTGGTCAGATTGACCCTGAAATGGAAAGCCTTGAGCGTACCCAGCACCACAGTTAGTTCATGTAAGGCCGACAGGCCCGAGGCTGGACTATCTATGAGCCACCTGAGGTGAATGTCGTCTGCGTAGATGATAATGTGGGAAATGATCCAGGGCAGATCGAAACAGGCCATCAAGTGATCGAGGAGCAGGTACATGCTCAAGGTCCATAGCAAAGGGGCATCTTTGGACCCCTGCTTTATACCCCGGCTGGCTGTGACGTGTCCGATTAAATCTTTATGGGGTATGCAGTACTTATGTTTGTGTTGCCAAGACTGAACTAGGAGTTGAAGGTCTGGGTGCAACTCGAATCGTTGGATGGCTCGAAGTACCAAGTTTCGATCAATGGCATCAAAAGCCTTCTCAAGATCGAGTGAGACCTGAAGGCCACCCCACAGTCCAGACTTAGATGGATCACTTTTGTGGTCCTGGCACAGTGCTTTGACCTGTCGACAGTGGTCAGAAGTCAGCAGGAGACAGTCCTGTGTGCCGCGATGCGGTAGGTAGGCGTACAGGGGGACCCTGCAAAGGGAAGGAAGTGCTTGTTCCAACACTTGTGCACAATGAATGCCCGAGAGGACTTTACTGACTGGGTGCTGTAGACATATTGGTCGAAGCGCAGCAGGATGATTGGGAGGTTTATGGGGCTTACTGAGGAGATGCAGCCATCCAGTGGCCCAACGTGAGGGGGGAATACCCGACTGAGTCCAGGCGCATTCGATGGCGGGGTAAACAACTGCTGCAATGTCGTGTGCGAAGACTTTCCAAATCAGTCCCGGCATCCCGTCCGGAGCAAGTGCCTTCGTAGCAGGAAGTTTGGAGAGGCCCATTGCAACCTGATCCTGAGTGAATGGGATGGAGTTCAACGGAGCAGGTGCTAACTCAAAATACTCATCATGGAACATAGTGCCAAAGTGATCAACAAGGACAGCGAGTTCCTGGTGCGGAAGAAGAGGGGCGCCAAATCTATCATGCAATTGTATCTTACGAAAAGGCTGCTTAGGACAGAGTTTACGGATGTTGCGATACCAATCATGCATACGATTAGACAAAGCATGGGGAACATTCTCCTTCAAGAATTGTTCAAGCTTGTGTCGTTTGTTGATCCTACCAAATTTACGAATCTGAGCATGCAAACGCGCAAAGATGGTGAGGTGTTTCCAACTGTGGAATAGTGTGCGAACATGAACGTACAGAACCTGTCTAGCCTGTCGACGTGCATGCCACATACGGGCCGTGAGGGAGACCACAGTCTGGTCAGAAGAAAAATGTTTTTTCTGACGAGGAAAATGCTCAAGACACAATTCTCTAAGATCATGTTCCATGGAATAGCAGTTTTCAATCGGACAATTCAGGCTAGGTAACTGATGTCTGAGGATACAGCTCTGGGCTGCCACGACAAAGTGTCTCCATGCTGTTGTGTCAGCGATCATCTCCTGTCGAATTCGAAACCGATCGATAGAAACAAATTTCGAAGGTACGGATCTGATCGGATGCCACCGGGGAAGGCCAAGGAGTAACGGACGGTGTTGTGGTCCCTGATGCAAACCAATGCGCTCAAACCGACAGTCAATTGAAGCAGTTATGGGTTTCCACCTAATCTGATTGGATCGCATGAAAGCGAAGTCGATTCTGGTCCGATGACAACCATGCAGAAAGGTGGGTATGTATTTCTGCTTGCAATGAACTGCAACCAAGGATAATTCACGAATCATGAGTTGGAAGTCATGTTTATCAATTTGAAGTGCCTGGTCAAAGCGTGGATCATGACTGCCAATGGATTGCGAATCGCGTTGTAGCGGACAATTGAAGTTCCCTATAACAACCATCATGTGGCTTTGAGGAGTATGTTGAATACACTAACGGAGTTTCCCCCACAGGTCCTGCCTTTCTTGCAATAGAGCACGGCTTGACTTGGTCGTGCTCCAGGCCATCTAATATATTATGTACAAATCATGGACCCTGTCTAGCATCAAGCGAATATGCAACAATCTTCCTGGAATCAACACCGCATACGCCAACATGGATGCTCGGATCAATGTTTTTCGGATCATGATAAGCCGGCTCGCAGCAGCCTCTTAAGAGTGAATGCAATACCAATGTTCAGTTTCCCATTGTCCATTAAACTTCCAGTTGGATTCTTGAATCAAGAGTACATCTTCAGGTCGGCCCGTGGCCCAGGCTAACCATTCATGGTAACTCAAGCATCTGGTGGTATTGCAAGAAAAAATCTTCAAAACAACACCAAATTGTTGTGCCTGTCGAAATTGAGGTTGCAGTGTTGACCTCCGTATTTCAGCCTTCAAAGGACCTCGCAACCGAAAAGGCACGTCGGATGCTGTGAAGCATCTGCCATGGTAGCTAATGTGTCCAGCTTGTAATGCACGTTTATATGCCCTGCGAAATAAACGCTTAATACGCCGTATTCGAGACTGATGCACCAACTAGCCGTAACCAAACATCGCCCAGACTTCACTGGCTTTCGTGCGTGTCTTAGTAGGTGCATAGGAGTGCATCGCACTTTCGCCAACCCGTGCAGAAAGATTAGCAACCCTCACGCCAGGCTTCAATCCTTGTGATACAAAAGGCGGAGCATCGGGAGACTTAGGACCGGGAGATCCAGTTCTATGGACATCTGGTGGATCAAAGCAGCTATGGTGAATATCGGAAGGAACCACATACCCATCTATGGAAGGAAAACCACAAGATCCATAGCAGATGGCCCCCCAGACACGACCGCGGACGCTTAAACTCGAAATGGCGCTTTATTAAACAAATATATATATATATCTTTTCGACCAAACGTTATCGAAATTATCCCGACATCATATTAATTTTGCATCGAATAAATAACACACCAATCGATAAATATACGACCCAAAAATTTTTCTGCCCATAAATCCATAATAATTCCAAATTAATTAAAAATATATCAATAATACGAATATATATAAAAAAATCAAAATAATATAATATATATTTAAAAAATATATATCCATATATTAAAAATATTATATAATATAATAAAATTATTTGAATTATTTGTTTTATTCATATTCTATTATTTTTTTAAAAATATAAATTAATTAATTAAAATATAAAACAAACACACATTAATAATAGACCGATATTATTAATTTTAATTTTAATATTTTAATTACATTTTAAACAACATATTTATCATTAAATGAATTAATTATCATTGTATTTTTATTACGATAATGCGGTTTTTGTCTCATAAGTTGATGTTGCCAGGGATTCCGGTTTTAAAATACAAAATTGCGGTCGGAGGACTTCCCAATAGCTTAATAAAGAATACAAAAAAATAGAAGAATTAATTATCATTGTATTTTTATTACAACAATGCGGTTTTTGTCTCATAAGTTGATGTTGCCAGGGATTCCGGCTTTAAAATACAAAGCTGCGGTCGGAGGGCTTCCCAATAGCTTAATAAAGAATACTACAAAATACACATGCAAACATCTCACCAACAAATTTTGTTTTCAGGTTTCTGGCTTCATTTTCCAAGGAATATGCAAGATCTCAATGGACCATACATTTTAACGCTTTATTTAAACATGTATTTAAACAAACTCTCCTCAGCTGCCCTGGCCTTGATACCTACTTTACTCACAAAGGCCATCCTCACCCAGTCCAATATTCAATGTGGAGCAATGACAGTCAGGTGTTGAAAGAAACACGGCTTTTGCGAGCTAGCTTTCCTTATTGAACAAAGCAAAGGGCGATCATACGCGCATGCTTTCTACTGATTTTTCCAATGCAAGGATGTTAGTGTCGCTCGTCTTTTTTCACCCAAAACCCACCATTGATCGTGGCGCAGCACGGCCCTCACAGTGAGGAGAGGGACATCCGGCTGCGGTGAGGCACCTCTTGCAGCGTTTCACCACCTCCAGCCGCTGCGTGGAAGGATTACAGAGTGATCTCCACATGTCTCCATGTGGTCTATTTGCAGGTCAGCATCTCGGGGTGTCAGTCGTCAGTAGAGAAGAGAGTTGGGCTTAGTAAGGCTCTATGAACCTTAAAGAAAGGCATAGTGCCACGATGCTGCACACACCAAATGTCCTGTAGCATCCTGTAGCTAACACAACAACAACTTGGTTCGGAACATGAGTTGTTCGGCAATGATCAAATATGTGCTACGTTCGGAACGCTACAGTATTTGAAGAGCAAGTCCTTTGTTGCGAGGCTTGGAAAGCAAAGAACATGTGCAGGATTTGGCCAGATCCATACCACAAGAGCTGGCTGCACTGCGAGCTGCTGCCGCGGCCGAAGAGGTTTGGGAAGATCTCTCGGAGCTTGGCCTGCTGCGAAACTCCCAGAGGCACTCTGCTGCAAGATCTTCTCCAAAAAAAACAAGGGACGGTCTCTAGAACGGTCCTGAGGAATAGGACCATCGTTCTTTAGAAGCTGGGCCTGTTCAACAGCAAAGTGGTAACACAGTCCTGTGTACCAAAGGTACTAACATAAGCCTCCCGTCTACGTAGACTCCATTCTGCAGTTTCAACTGAACAAAGAGGGATAGGTCGGATAATCTGCAAACATACCCCCCAAAGCACTCCATAAATCATCAACAGTGGTCATGGGATGGCATGGGGGGTCAGGTGAAAAGCTTGGGCACCTCGAAATCACCACGAACTGCGCGGCGTGTCTTTTTTCGGGTCGAAGGATCAACCGAAATGATTTGCATCAACTTGTCTTCAGTCAGGGAATGCAGCTGTGGAGCAACTCCCAGCCTCGCTGAAGCCGTCTCTGAGAGAATGCCCGGGCACTCGGTGGATAAAGAACTGATAGGCCATATCTTTGCCTCAAAATCCACCAAACCAAACCGTCCAAACTCGGGAGTTTCGGGGTTTCGGCAATGACCTCGATCGCCCACTGTCCTGATCAACTGACCAAGCTCACTGTCTTTCCCAGCCCAGTTTAGCTGCACCTCACAGAACGCTCTCTCTCTCTCTCTCGCTCGCACATCCTGATTCCAACCTATTGCAACCTTCCAAAATGCTGCTCGGGTAAAAAATACGACCCGACGTGCTAACTTACCCCATCGCACATGAACTTGACCCACCCCCATGGCACACCGCTTACCCCACGAATGTAGAAACTTACCCCATTTGGAAAACACAATGGCACACCGCTTCGAAACAAGCACTTGTTCTCCTAGATTGTTTCTAAACCTACACGATTCCACTGCGATTCAATCTTCTACATGTTGATGTTTTCTAAGGTTCTCTGTGGGTTGCCGTGATCCAATCCCCATGGCACACCGATTCTGACCCACATGTTGGTACCAGCTTTCAGTTTCTACATAGAGTGCAAGCAGCATGGAACGTCAAACATATATCTATTCATTCTTGCATGTTTTCCTCTCCCAATCCCCATGGCACACCGCTTCGGAACAAGCACTTGTTCTCCTAGCCTAGATTGTTTCTAAACCTACACCATTCCATTGTGATTCAATCTTCTACATGTTGATGGGTTCTAAGGTTTCCTATGGGCTGCCATGGTCCAACCCCCATGGCACACCTCTGGCCCACATGTTGGCGCCACCTTTAAGTTCCTACCTCGAGGGTAACCACCCAGACGCGAAAGTCCTTGCAAAGCAGTTGCGGCAAGCAAATCACACTGTGACACCACACCACGACTAAGTCACGGCAGAGTCCTTGCAGCACTTAATTTCCGCATGGGACACCGCGTCACCAAACAGGCCATCTAAGCCAAAACCATGCTTTCCAAGCCCAGTTTACAACACTGCCACAATGATAGGGTTTGTGCAACAACAGCCAGCAGCAAATGAGTAGGCTTTGTAGCGCAGGCAGCGGCAGCGGCAGCAGCAAGCAGCAGCAAGCAGCAGCAAGCAGCCAACCAGCAGCAAAACAACACCAACAACCCAACAGCAGCAGAAGGTAACCAGCAGCATCCCACCAGCAGCGGCCAAACAGCAGCAGCAAGCCGGCAGCAGCAAACCAGCAGCAGCCAAACAGCAGGCAGCACGAAGCCAGCAGCAGCTAACCAGCAGTAGCTAACCAGCAGTAGTAGCCAACCAGCAGCAACTGGCCGCAGCCGCACCCAACCAGCAGCAAACCAACAGAGGCTAGAAACCAAATCGTCTGTGTTGTGGGATTGGTGAAAACGGTGTGCACACCCGCTTCCGACCTCTGCCAGAAGTATGCCAAGACCACGACAAAACCCATGGTTAGCTTGCGTTTTGCCTTTTTTGGTGTCTGTGCGCGCGCGTTCCTTCCGCATGGCACACCTGCGAAAAATGTGAACATGAACGCTTGAAGACATGAACCCTGCAAATCGCTCCTTGCCTGGAGGGCCCATGTAAATTGAAGAGGCCTTTTCTTACACATATGCGTTGGTCCTGGTGCCTGGCGGGTTGGGCGAGATAGAGGGCGAGATGTGTGCGAGGTATTGGGCGAGATGAACACGTTTGCCCAGAAGACCCATGCCCACTAACACCCAAACACAAAAGTCCTTGCAACGCAACGCAGCTGTGGCAACCAGTCATATACTGGGACACCACGCCACGACTAAGTCACGGCAACGTCCTTGCGATACTTGTTTCCGCATGCGATACTTGTTTCCGCATGGAGGCACCGCGTTTCACCAAACAGGCCTGCCACCAAGCTTGAAATCATGTTTCCAATACCCAGTCTGCAATGGAAGAAACCTGCTATAATCATAGGGCGTGCAAAGCAATGACAGGCAGCAAGTGAGTAGGAGCAGCGGCAGCGACAAGCAGCAGCAAGCAGCAAGCAGCAGCACCAGCAACAACCAAGCAGCAAGCAGCAACACCGGCAGCAATCAGCCAGCAGCAGCAGCAGCCAACCAGCAGCAAACCAACAGCAGCCAACCGCCAGCAGCAGCAGTAGCCAACCAGCAGCAGCAAGGCGGCAGCAGCAGCAGAAAACCAGCAGCAAGCCCGACATATATTGATTACCAAAGATTACCAAACAACAAACGCCTCCACCCCTAGACACGCAACTGTGTGGGGACACGCTTCGCAACGACTTGTCAAAAACACTAATCAGACTGCTCCTCGCTCATCCGCTTTGATGGAGATGGGGCCTTCTCGAAAAGGCTTCAACTATGGGTTGACAAAAGAAACCTCTAGAAACAAGTTCAATTTCATAGCTATTCGATAGCTCACCCCAATGGTATACTGGTTTCACATTGCAGTGTGAACGCGAAAAAGCCAGTGTGCCACGCAGATCTGGCATCAATAAGATGGAGAAGTATGTTGCTCGTCTCTTCTAGTTTGCACTGCTTTGATTGCTCCCCACAATGGCACACCGGCTTCCATACGAGATCTTGATCACGATAGGGGTAAACACAGGCACCCAGTATGTAGAAACAAATGCACGAGGCAAATGAGGCCTGCCCCCTTTCTGTCCCAACATTGGTTGGGAAGCGCAACTTGAGGCTGGTTGCATTCCAAGCACTAGTCACCAAAAAGAACAAAAACCACAGTATGAAGTGACCAAACAATGATCGTCTACACTCCTAGACACAAAACTGCTTGGGGACACCGTTTCGCAACGATTGTTGAAAAATACCTACTCACAATGTAGTGAAGCCGAAAACATGAAATCGCAACGGCGCACTTGGGAGTACAATAAATTTGAGACAGAATCAACAGTGTGCCCTTGCGGTTTGGTCGAATTCTCAACCTGTGATCAACAACAACATACATACAAAAACTTAGCCCAATCAAGCTTTCCCCCAAGGGCACACCTCATCTGGCACAAGTTCATGCCATTCGAGACAAGTTAACCCGAGCACCCAGTACCTTCAATCATGACATTCTCCTATTTCAACTGCCATCCTGTTTTTCCAGCTGTCAAGCCACTGGCTTCTGGATCTTTCGGCCACCACTCCTCTCCGAGACCACGCTCACCGCCGCCGTCGTAGCGGCGCCGCAGCACGGGGTCACCCAGCACCTGACGACGGGCCCCGAGCCGAGCGGCGTGGAGCGGAAAAAGGCAGAACTGTTCGGAGAACTGGGTGGGAAGTCAGGTTCGAGGGTGGGTTGAGTGGTGTGTGGCAAGCTGACGAGGGAACAACAGATGGACCCACCATTGGTGCTTTTTGTTGCATTCTTTCTGAGTCTTATCGGTGCAGGCTGCAAGCTTAGCAGCATTCTTAGCATGCACTTCCATCGACAACTGCGTGGCAAACCCTGATCCTTCCCTGATACACTTGCTGTGCGAAGCCACATGCAAGCACTCTTTTTTGATTCGGGCATGCGGCATCCCAATCAAATCAAGCTCAAGCTTAGCTGCTGACAACGCAAAGTTTTCAAGCTATCGGGCCAGGTCACACCCTCCAAAAACTGCTGGAAGCGATCGTTCAACAGTGAGAGATTCTGCAGTCCTTTGGGCCAGGTAACTGCAGCCAAGCTCTGGTTGAAACGAGCGCCAAGTGTCAGTTCTTGCAACCCCGCAGGCCAAGTCACACCCTCCAAGCTCTGGTTGAAATTGTCCCCAAACGTCAGATTCTGGAGGCTGTGGGGCCAACTGACATTCTTCAAACTCTGGTTAAATTGACTGCCAAACGTCAACATTTGCAGGCCATCGGGCCAAGTCATGCCCTTCAAACTCTGATCAAAGCCGCAACCAAGCGTGAGGCTCTGGAGGCTGTGAGGGAAGGTTGCATCTAGCAAACTCTGATTGAAGCGGAGGCCGAATTTGAGCCGTCGCAAGCCATGTGGCCAAGTCACACCTGTCAATCTCTGGTTGAACTCGTCTCCAAAGGCAAGAGTCTCTAGGAGATGGGGCCAGATCACACCATCCAAACTCCGATTAAAGCGAAGGCCGAAGGTCAAAGTCTGAAGCTGTGGGGGCCAATTGATGCCTTCCAAACTCTGGTTGAACTCATTGCCAAACGTCAAACTGCAGAGGGTAGCAGGCCAAGTCACACTTTCCAAGTTCTGCTGACCACCAACAGTCAGTGTCTCGAGGCCGCCTGGCCAAGTCAAACCCTTCAGGCTTTGGACAAAGCAAAAGCCCAACGCCAAATTCTTTAGACTGGCAGGAAGCTGCGATCCTTCCAGCCTCTGATCAAATTGCTCGCCAAAGGTCAGATTCTGGAGGTGCTCCGGCCAAGCCACACCTTCCAAACTCTGATTGAAGCAAGTGCCAAAGGTCAGGCTCTGGAGACCTCCAGGCCAAGTCACACCAGTCAATATCTGGTTAAAACGCCTGGCAAATGACAAATGTCGGAGGCTTTGGGGCAAAGCTACCACATCCAAACTCTGGTCGAATTCTTTGCCAAAAGTCAGAGTTTGAAGATTGCTTGGCCACCTCACCCTCTGCAAACTTTGATTGAACGCGCAGCCAAAGGTCAGCTTTTGGAGATGCTTTGGCCAAAGCACACCATCCAACCTCTGGTTGAAGTTAGTGCCAAACTCTATATCCTGGAGGGTGTCAGGAAAGGTCACTCCTTCCAAGCTGCGGTTGAAACGACCATCAAATGTGAGCCGCAAGAGGCTCCGGGGCCAAGTCCACCCTTCCAAACTCTCGTCGAAGCAAAATCCAAATGTCAAAGTCTCAAGACTGTCTGGTAGAGTGACCCCTTCCAGACTCTGATCGAATTGCTCGCCAAAGGCTAACGTCTGGAGCTTCAAGGGCCAAGTGGTGCCTGTCAAACTCTGATTGAAACGTCCACCCAATGTCAAAGACTCGAGACAGCCGGGCCAAGTCACATCGTCCAAACTCTGATCGAATCGCTCGCCAAGAGTCAAACACTGGAGCCCAGTGGGCCAAGTCACGCCCTTTAAAGACTGGTTGAATTCATAGCCAAACGTCAAATTCCGGAGGCGGCTGGGCCAACTCACGCCTTCCAAACTCTGGTTGAACCGATGACCAAACATCAGGCTCTGAAGGCTGTGGGGAAGCTTGCTCAGCTGACTCAAATCTCGAATGCCTCTTACTTCCTGAAGCCCTTCCATGGAACTTTGCGGGGCACCCAGGCCATGAAGCAACTTCCAAACCTCATCCAAGCTGGTAGGTATGTAGATATAGGTCAGGTGTATGGTTGATTCACATCCAAAAGACTCCTGGATTTGTGAAACAAAAAGTATGCACAGCATGCCCCACTCATCGAACAATCCAGCAAAAACGCCGGGGATACTTGCTCTAAAGTTTTTCACATGGATATGACATGTTTTGTCATGCCATGACACAAAAGACTCCTTCAGGGTCTTCCTTGGGGAAAGCATTTCAGATCCATGCTGCAGGACCACCCTGGCGCTCTTCTTGCTGAGACGATCACGGATGATGGTGCACAGCTCGCCCCCAGTGAGACCATCAGGCACAGCGAGGTCCACTCCTTTGAGAAAAGCCCTTCTTGAGGAAGAAGGACAAGACCCTTTTTCTCACTCGTAGAGCAAAGGGAATCCAAGAATGTTTAGACCCTTTCATTCTCCCTACTTCTGGCCCATATTTCACATCAACTTCTGCGTCCAACACTATTCGCCGGAGGTCCTTCACCATCCAAGCCCACAATCTGGAGGTCCAACACACGTTGCTCGTGTGCGCGATCTGCACTGGCCATGGGTCCGAGATCGGGCCGTGACGGCTTTGCTATTGTGACCTTATACAGTAGATGGATGAAAAGCGAACACTGAGCCTTTGAAGATCAGCATCGGTTCATGCAAATTAGCAAATTCATGTATGGAAAATGACCACATGTTCTGATGCTTGCAGCACGCCAACACCCTAGTTTAGGGCCTGAACAGGGGTGACGAGCTCCAGCAACAGGAAAACGTCCCTCTTTAGAACGGCGGATGTGTGGAATGTAGATATGCTGATCATTGAAACATATATATATATATATATTTCATAAATACATATACGTATACTACATATACATATATATTATATATATAGTATCCGTTTGTTAGGCCCTTTGCTTGCAAAATACATCGCTTTCGTCTGTGGCTTGACCATCTTGCTACTTCGGCCTCTAGCTCTCCATCTCGTCCATCCGGCCTTGTAGGCTTGGGCCACTCGCTTGAACATCTGCTCCTCACCGTTTGGGGCGACGGCGAGGGTCTCACTAGCGGCGTTGGCTGTTGGCCGCCACCGACCTCCTACAGTGCCTGCCGTCGTGTGGTTGCCCATGGGGCTTAGCCCCAGCTGTGAACAAGTCTGGACAGTCTGGACGGTACAATGCCAAGTGAAGGACACTGTTTTTCAATAACAAACACATTCAGAAACAAGATCTGAGATTCCTGATGTTTGTTACTTGTTTTTGCACCCTTTTATACAGTAACAGGTTTCGATACTGCATGTATGTATATAGATGCATGTATACACAAATGGTTGAGTGTCTGAGCCTTGGGATGGAAGGGCCTTCAGGATTTATATGTTTGGGATTGTATTTGTTAAAAAAGATCGCATCCAGTGCGCCAAGAAGAAGCACCTCTTCTTGAACTCAAATGCCGTTTTTTCCCCGACAGAAACCACCCCCGGCCCCTTTGGACGCATGGACGCACCTGGGTTCACGGTTCGAACTCGCACACCGAGCGGCCGCCACGTCCGGATGCATAGGATTCTTGTCGGGGTGCCATTTCCTGTTCTGGAGCCAGTGCGACGTCATCGGGGCGAATCACTTCGTTCGGTCGTAGGTTGGAGTCATTTTCAGTAAATCTGTTTGCTGGCTCATGACTCAAAGCAATGGCCACCTGGAGCAGCCTCTGGGCCCAAATCCAAGAAGGGGCAAACTGGCAAACAATTTCTGGCCATCTTGACATCTTTTGGGTCTCTTCATGTCTCTTCCAAACTGACCAACTCAGTAGAAACAGTGCTGGTTGGGCCCTATTGTGGGGGAAGGTGAAGTGTTAGCTCCCCGTTGGCTCAGCCCCATCGAGGCAATGCCGCACCCCGAGTCCGGTGAGATAGGGCCCATAAACCTGTACCTTTTTAAGACCGAATGGTTTTTTCCCTCAGCAAGGCCTCCATCCTCCTTCACAAAACTGGGAGTCACTTCCAAAGAGCAATTTTCGCTCGCAGCTTTCTCGTTTTGGTGCATGATTCGTTCCTCCAGTCTCGTCTCGATTATCACTCTGCCTTTCCTCCCCTCGCCCCACGTCTGCCAGGCATCAGGGCCATCTTCAAGTACGCCTCGGTCTGTCTCGACCGAAGCATGGCATGTCAAAGGTCGCAAATGAGAAAAAACACATTCAAGGACTCAATTGGTCCCAAAAACCACATAGACACCAACAAAATTGGTCGAATCCAAATCGCCCCTCATTCACTTGTTGAACCCTCTGCGGTCTTCAACCCGCCAGCTTTGTGCGGGTGTCTCACCACCGTACCGGCTGGATGGTTGGAGGCTTCTCCTTGCTCAGCACACCCGACCCGTTCCACGACGGGTCCACGACCGGTCGGTCGTGGCCGGTGGCCCGTCCGGCGCCAGGTAGGTAGACCACCCACCCGAGAAGTCATCTCCTTTGGAGCCAAATACGCAAAAGACCTGCTCGGGGAACAGGTTTGGAGTATGAGTATACCACCTGCAGAAGTACGCTACCAGAATCGCAGTTGAGCCGACCCACATGGTCTCCTCTGATTTTGGGGGGCGCTCTGGTATGACCTAGAACCTGAATGACCTCAATTTTGGAGCATCAACCACCCCAAAACTTGGTCAAACTTCCTCTCAAAACAGTGGTCATGTCTGGGCCCTTACAGTATTTTATATAATATATGCATGTTGTATCTATCGATATATATATATATATTCAAATATATGTATAGTTACAATATACAAATTATATATTGCATATACCAACACGAAACTGCTCCCCTGCCGCGACCGGTGCCAGGCGACCCGCCGGACTTCCTCGAAGGATGCGTCCTGCGGTGGACTGAGCAGCGACGGGCGCGTCCGCGGCGTCGCAGCTCGGCGTCTCTCGCCGTCCTGCGACGTCTTTCAATGTTTAGGTTTTGTGTCTTTCTTCAAGAAAAAACGTGTTGCACATTGTTGTGCATGATGTTTTGTTAAAGTATATGTATTAATATATTCTATTTGAAGTATTTGTATTTTACAGTTGTAAGAGTACATGTAGGTACATACAGTCTATCCAAGTGATTAAAGGTAACTCAGTCATGATCCCCCACCTGAAACATCCTGAAACCGCTCCTTCAGTTTCAGTGTGTTGCGCCAAACCCTCCGGAACGAACTCGCCTGGCAGATCTCACTTGCCGGGTCCATTGTTCTTCTTGTGCGGATGTTACACTCCCTGAAATCATGGTTACGTGGATGGCACCGCCTGATTGGTCTACGGATTTGATGGTCATGGGTCATCCAAACTCGAGGCCATGCCATCCACATAACGATGAACACTTCAGGGAGTGTAACATCTCGGAGCAGTCTAGCCTACGTAGCCTACGAATTCCATGCCATAACAAAGGAACAACCACCTGTAAAAATAAGATAGCATCGGCGGCCTCTGCTTCCCCTTCTTAGACAAACTCCTCATCTTGAATGCAAGCGGACCCCCCATCAGACTCCATGATCAGCATGGCTTGGGAGGGAAACAAATTACATTTGATTTCTGGCTGTGTGCCGGGCGTATGCCATGTGTCTTTCGCCGCGCTTGCCAGTTGCCAAAATAACGCATGGTTGCATGTGACATATGTGACCTGCTAAGCAGTTAAACAAGCTACATCCACGACAGGTCCTATGATCTACACGGTCCTTGCCCAGTTCAAGCACAGTGTAGAAGTCACTCTCAGCACCCATGGCATCACAAGGATCAAGAATTGAGTCAAAGAAATGCTCAAATCAACATTAACATGTTACATGGCCTCCAGAAAGAATGCTGACCCCCCTGGTGTCTCACCAGTTCGTCTATGGTTTTTATATCCCTACATATTAATAGGGGGGGACCTAAAAAAATGTAAGTTACATTGTCCCCGGGGGGGGGGGATGCAAAGTGAACCTAAAAAATGTATATAAGCATATATGTTTCCTGTAAGTGCTAAAAAAATGTTAGCTACATGTGTTTTTCATATCCTAAACAAATGTAGCTTACATTTTTTTGGTTTGTTAGGACGTGGGACGTGGGACGTGGTAAGTTGCATTTTCTCCAGCACCCCTAAAATTTCTAACTGACACACACCAGCCACCACCTCATTTCCTGGAGAATTCCCAGGAACATGCACGCAGGGACATACCCAGACACAGCAAAAATCTGGGAGGGGGGGGGACCATGAATATGGCCTCTACTTGAATAAGTAGGGCCCAAAACGAGGGGGGGGTCAACATACATTTATGGGGTCCCCCGGAAATTGTAAGTTACATTTTTCTAGGTCCCCCCCCAGAAGTGGACCTAAGCGGGTAGGGATGTTTTTATTGTTTGGAGAGGCCTACCGTAGCCGCTTCACTCCTTAACCCAGTGGGCTAGCAGCGCCTGTACACCAATTAGTCAGCTACCAGTAAGCTCCGTGAGGGGAAGAGATGGGGGGAGAAACCAGCAGGATGCTCTGGGTAGAGGCGTCGTTGGCTTTATATTGTGTCTTTGGTACGTGTTTGCACTCCAACTGACAGGCTACTGGCACCGGCATATGGCTGCAAGAAGCGTAAGAAACACGCCAACTGATTCAGATGGAGCGGAAGAAGCATCCCTTGCATGACCATGTATGATCATTCTTGTTGTGGCCTGCTTTGGTGGCACATGCACTGGAGTTACGCTGCTCTAGCTTAGCATGCGCTGAGCCAGGGAGATCGTCTGACCTGAGCCTGGCATTAGACATTCAGGTCTGATCTCCAAGGGATAGACCATGGATTTTAATGGCATTATCTTCAAGATTGATGGCTGTGCACAAATGTTTGCTTCCTCCTCTTGAGTTTTTTTTTAATGTTTTCGAACTCCAGTTAGATGAGCATGACCCATTCTTCGGCTCATTGGCTGATTCGGGCATCTTGAACTCAAACCTCTTCGGTGTTTCTCCTTGTTTCTCGTGTAGCCTCTTTGGAAAAGAATCTCTTGACCTATCCTCCCTCTCCAAAAAGCGGTTCAAGAGACTCATCTGTCATACTCACTGAACCAAAACCTTTTTGTACCTGGTCAATCGTAGGCGATTCTTGTTTGCGTAAATATCGTAAATGACAATATCTATACGATTATATATCTATATGTTGTTATTACATGGCACCTATCTGTGCAGTAGATCCCCAAAGAAAACCATTTGTACCATCTACTCAATCTAGTCCCGCATGGTGAGCCCCCTTCATGCATGGTTGAATACCCTTCCCAGAAATCCGTCTCCACGTAAGTGACAGTGAGGTCTTTGTGGCACAGGCAAAGCGCGTGGTGCCCTCTTGGCAGGGCTGCTCACGTTCGGCTCGGCTTGGCTCCTTACGCCGATCCAATTCGATATCCGAGGCGCCTCTGGAACTCCTGGCTGTGGGGCCGCCCATAGCGCAAACCCGCTGCTGGCGGCTTCTGAAAGCATTCGTCCAGGTTTCAACTGCAAAGTAACCAAAAGGTTTGGCCTTCCAAAGCCCAAGTGCAAAGTCAGCTTGTACGGTGGTCTTGTGCAGCCCCGAAAGAGATTGACAGGAAGAACAAAAAGGAATTAGGGTAAGGAGAGAAGCTTTGTGTTTTATTGTCGCTGGGAAGGCTATTCCTGTCAATGTTACAGTTTCACGTCATGTTCACATCAGGTTTCATTTCTGTCCTGTCGGGGGTCCCGTAATGCTTCACTGTTGAAGCAAAACTAAGGCAATTGGGTTCCACAACGGTATCAGGCACGCTGGTTCCACGTAGTTCGAAACCTACTCCTGCATGGGTGTCCACGGCATGTCTCCCGCGGCGTGATTCTCCGCAATGCAAAAGCGTGCTTTCTTCTTTGGGACCTCGTGGTTTCTACTAGAAAAAACACAACCGTCATGTCATATACCCAGCACTTTGGAGGGGCAGAAACATTGGGTCAACCCACTTTCCAAGAGAGCATCCATGTGCTTGTTGGTCTGAGGTGTGAGTATGACAAGGGCGAACTGAACGCTGAGCCAAAACCATCCCCTACAGCCCACAAGGTCAGACCACAACAGGTCAGAGTGTACCTGCAAGCATGCCCAATCTCAAGGCTCTAATTATATACAATTGTATACATCGATCTGAATCTTACAGTAAGATACAGTAACATCATCCATAATCATCCTTTTTTGTTCCTCCTTCGGCTGATCAGGTTACTTCAGGCAGAACTTCGGACGATTGATTGGCAATAGGCCCTAGGCTCCTCCTTCAGACCAATTCGATCAGCGGCCATTTCGACTTCATGCAGTCACCCGGTGGCCCTTTTCTCATCCCCCAAGTTCTCACTCTCATCCACTCTCTCTCCGCTCTGCCCCACCCCCTGGGCGGTCCTGATACTTCTTCAAGATCGATGGCTCCATCCTCCCAGCCGCCCGTCGTGCCACGCCTTCACAGGCCTCGTCGTTGGTGTGGTTCAGCTCCTTGGGCCCACTGACGGCCAGGAAGGGCGCGCGCCGCAGGTCCGCCGTGGTCGCCATGGATTGCATGATCGAACGCTCCTCGGGTGCGGGGAGCGAGTGCAGGGGGAGAGACATCGAAGGGTGTCTGGCTCCAGGAATAGCAGGTGCAAAAAGAAACAAAGAAACAAATTGAAAAACATCTCAACCACGTTGAAAGTCAGTGAAGCCCGGTGAAACAATGGCTGCCCGCAGCAGCGTATGAGTAAGAGAAATCCTACAGCGCCTGATGGGCTTTCGAAATCGACCTTTGGCCATGGCTCCCCTTCGCTAATGAGTGGAGCTGCCCAAGCTGGACTGCTGGAAGCGGCGAAGAAGAAATCCAGCAACTTATCCACCTCGTGTGGTCGCAACCGTTGACATCGATGAGGTGGTCATCGACCGTGAACTCTGGATGCGGCCCTTGACATTGCATTTCATTCATTAAAACATGACAAAGCAAGCAATCTACACTTCAATTATACCAGCATAGACCCCAAACAGTTTCAAAACGATTCGTTTGGACCAATATTAGTCAAAAAACGATTTGGGCCACAGACAGGGGCGCGGCCGACAAGGACAAGAGGAGGACAACAGGAGGACAAGGCCCGGACACAAAGCCGGGCCACAGAGCCCAGCCACAGATTTCAGGGGCGCGGCCAGTGAGTGTGGTCAGCTCTTTCTTTTCTAAGATAGGACACCAACAGTAAACTGTTTGGAGAAAAAACTAAATAATATGAAACATGATTCATTCAAACAGGCGGGAGGGTCCATTTCATGTTTGTGAATTAAATTAGAATGTGTAGTTTGTGGTACCCGAAAAGCCTACAATACTCTACAATTTGATTTGTGTCTGCGGTGTTCGTTATTCACATGCAGCACATTGAGGCCATTGGCTTCTTAAGAAACAATAGTATTCCGTACCCACAGTTGTCTTTTGGATTTTGGATAGATCACCACAACACTGACAGAATCAAACCAAGTTCTCATCACTCATCTCTGACAGCACACATGTTCAGCCAACAGTTCACATTTCTTTTTTTGTCACTCTAGCCTGGAGCCTACCTATGTCTATATATACTATACTATATTTTATATCTAGAATCTCTATATATATATATAATAAGCCAACTCAAGCCCCAGTGTTCCATCTAGCCCCAGTTGTCGCATCTTCCAAAAGCACTTCCAATCCCGACCATCTCTGACCGCATGACCTCGGTCACCAACACTCCTCACCGAAACACTCCCATCCTCGGGGTCAACCAGTGTCCCGCCTCGCGGTCGAAGCTGTCCGAAGAGCGTTCGAAGTCCTCGTACCTAGGGGCGACGTGTGCGACGTGCGACGTGCCGGATGACCGTGAGACGTCCACGAACGGATGGAGACCGAAGGTGGAACCCCCCAAAACAAAGACAGAAAACAGGGTTTCGTGGAGTGAAAACTCGTTGGTAAAGGAAAGTCGTCTTCCAAGGGACCATTTTCTTCCAAGGGAAAGTCGTCTTCTTAGTGAGTCAGAGGGTCGGTGTTGATCTGGCCAACGGTCAAGTGAGTCAAGTGACACCCTGGTGATGGGAAAGCACGGACCATGGTGGGAACAGCCACATTTAGGGCAGGCAAGCATCCTGCAACACCTTCGTGGGATGGTAGACCATTCATCGTGGAACACACACACACACAGAGCTGAGTCCGTTTACCTTTCAGAACACAAACACTCATCTGCAAGCTCTTGCCTTTCTTTCCAAAATGATCAAACATGTAAAAGGTGTGCGTGATACACAAAGTCAGTGAGAACAAAACATCCGCAAACTCGCGCACAGCATAATCATACAGAATCAAGTCAGCCATGATAGGGCTCCAAGTTCTACCTTTGGGGCAGGGGTGTCAAATAGATTTAGCAGCAGGCACCAAATTGGAGAGGTGTTGCAGATTTTGTGCCATGGGGGAAGGGTTGGGGAGAGCCCATCGCCTCCCCAAAGAACACGCAAAGCGTTTCGTGAAGCCGGAAGCCAAACAGCAGTCGTTCACAAAGAAGGCTAGAGAATCTGCCAAACAGCAACCGCACAGCAACCGTTACTAGAAACCACCGAAGGCCGACAGAATCCACAAGCCGATGCGCGCAAGCGCTTGCTACAGTACTCGTTTCCTGAAGGTGTTGAACATCTTTGAGCCAAGAAACGCTTGTGAGTTCCATGGCCAGGCCAGGCCAAGGTTGGGACACCGATTCCATATTTGGCCAGGGTTTCCGTGACTCCAACAGTGTACCTTACAGTAATCAGATCCATGTACATGCATCGATCTATACATATATATATATATTAATGACGAACGAGTTGTATCGTTGATAATTCTCTCATCCTTGATCCTTTGCTTCTTCCATATCTTGTGTCACTTTTGTCAGAGGGAGCCTCCCATAGTATACCAGTATATACCAATCGGGTATTCCTTCCTCGGAACTCGAACAGCTCAAATACCCAAGACTCTTTTTTGACCAGTCCCTTACAACACACACACACACACACACCACTGGGGAAGACCTGAGCCTGAGCCCCAAAGTCCTGAACTTGTGTATCGATGCCCTTTGTTACTAGTAGCTTCCTATTACTACTAGTAAGGCACTTGTTACTAGAAGCGATGCACTTGTTCCTAGTAGCTTCTTGTTCCTAGTAGTCCCTATCAGGCTCGACCTCCAGAACTCCCACGAATGACGCGTCGCCTGAGCCGCAGCGTGTCCCCGTCGGGCTCGGCGAAAGCGCTCGTCATCCACTCGACGACCGGCAGCAACATTTCGGCCTCAGCGCCCCCGAAGGTTGGAAGTCCCTGTGAGACTTACACTCCAAATAGATTCAAAATAGTATATATTATCATGTATTGTCATGGAACTGGATGGAACTGGAAGATTGAGGCCCCTAAAAGACCGCGTTTCGAATACCAAACAAGTGGTTTTCCAGGTTTTTTGGACCTTCCAGGAGGTCCAATAATAATATAATGGCATAATCTCCCTCGGGAATTCATGGGATTCACACATGGGACGTCCAGTTTTGCCCACACCTACTTGTTGACGGCCGATTCATCAAACCCTCGACCAAACATGACCAGACTGGTTTTACTATGTTTTACCTCCCCAGGCCCGCACCTTCTTAGTCTGTGAGTCCACATTGACGTCTGCAACCCCCCCGGCCAGAATGACACCAAACACCAAACCACGTCTCCTACGTCTTGCCTGCGGGCATTTTCATGCGTTCAACGAGTCCCACCGGAGTCAGACTCTACTCTCATTTGAGCCGCTGTAGCGGTGGTTCCTTCGTCGGGGCCCAGCACCTTCAAGCGTTGCACGTCGAACATGAGATTCTGCATCTCCTCGAAACTCGGAGGCCCGGGCGCTTGGCCGGAGACCGGCTCAAGCTGGTGGCCGGTCCCAGGGATTCGAGGATCGAAACTCGAAGACCGGGGGCATCACATGGGGAGTCACCGGATCCTCGCGGGGTCTCCGGGAGTGGCCAGACTGGAAGGCAAAGCGGACTGGACGGTGAGCCAGAGATTCTTTGGGAAGTGCAGCCTTGCAACTGGTGCGGGGGCGGGTTTGAACAGCATGGCCCGACGGTCATCATGTGCAAATGCATTTGTATCATACGAGAAAAACACATTTAAAAACAACCTTCGGTGCCCTAAAACCCGCTCAACAACACCAACAGCGATCTTCAAATCTGATGAGCACCTCAAATAACCATAAGCGGCTATACACATATCAGCGAAGTCTGGCGTTCAATCCCATCCTCATTCACTGGATCTCACAATGATACAATGTATAGCCTGCATGGTGCATAGCCGTGGAGTCCGGAGTCGGATTCCGACGTGGTCAGTTGCCTCATTGGCCACATGTAAAAACATGTGGCCCAAACAATACAGTGGTTTCAGAGTAGATGGCATCAACCCGTACCTCGTGGAAACCATGTGGTCACAAAAATTGTGTCCTGAATTTATGTGACCAAACTGTCGACGAAAACACATTGATCTGGTCTCGCTGCTTCTTGGATTTTGTCTTAGCTACAGCTACAAAAACCTTTTCATGTTGAATGTACCTAATTACCCTATCATAAAGAGTCCCTATATACAAAAAATAACATTCATGCGATTCATGGCTTCGACAGATTTTGGGGTTCACCCAGAAAAGTACACTGCAGCCACACACACCCATCCTGTACCACAAGAAATGCGCACTGAGCTCTCTCCCCGCTCCTGCCCGTGGTGGTGGTAGCAATAGGCGGAGGCGACCATCGTCAAGGGGTTGCGAACAATGCCCATGACCAGCGTCCTGGAGGGGGTTTAGCAAGAAATCACTTCCAAACCAAAAGAACTACGGGACCAAAACAAGAGTACGTCTGAGGATTGGAAGCGTGTGCGCGTGTACATGTGCATATACATGTCTATGTATGTATATAAATAAAGAAAAGAATATATATATATATATTGACATATGAGTGTTACCTTAAAGTCCAAACATGATCTCTGTCGTGATTCTGCCCCATCACAGAAAGGGCAGCAGCCGATTCTGGTTGCCTGCTGAGACCTAGCAGAATCGATTGCTGAATAGGCTGTTGGCTGCTGTAATGGAGCAACACAAAACCTCACGTTGAATTGGCTGCTGCTTTAGGGTGTCTGAAACTGCTGTTCAACCAGCTGTCAGCTTGTCCGCTGCTAGGTGATTAAGCAAAATCAGCCGTTAGGTTGGTGAATCCGCCCACACCGCTTGTCGGTGCAGGGCGTGCTATGGGGCTCTCTAGGCTCTGCTTAGCTTTGCTAGCGTTTTGGAGGTACACTTTTGGATGATTTTTCGTTACGTCGTGCTTGCAGGGCCACTGGGGAGAGCGTGTTGGAGACAATGCCGAAGTTGTATCACCATGCCATTATGGGCTCCAAGGTAGACGAAGTTGGCCCCAAGATGGCTCCAACGCAGCCGTAA